CCCCATCAACCCCTTCGGCCCTTTACCTGGGCCCCCGCTGCTGCTGCCCCCTCTGGCGCAAGGGGATCGGGGAGGGACCCAGCCGGGGGTCACCTGCAGACACCTGGGGGGGGGGGGGGTCTGGGCAAGGTGCAGAGCCCCCCTCCCCACGCTCCGATCCACGGGGGGCGCAGTGGGGCGCCGGGTGGAGGAAAGTTGCGCACGTGGAGGGTGCGGGGGGAGGATGGGGGACATCCTGCCCCGGCCCACGCGTGTTTCCCCGGCCGGCTCCGTCCCTTCCCCCGCGGCCGGTGCCTCCCGGGCCGGGCCGGCCAGCGCAGGGGCCGCATCACTTATTCATCAGGCCGGGCAGTTCGCAGCTAGCGCGCAGCCGGGCCGGGGCTCGCCTTGCGCCTGGGACAGCCCCAGCCCCCCTGCCCGGAGCCGGCTCGGCCTCGATCCGCTCCCTCCGGGAGCGTGGCCTGGATTCAGGAGCTCCGGGCAGGGAAGTGTGCCGGGTTGGTTGTAAACCAGGAGACACCCGGAGGCGGAGCCCGATCTCCCCGGCGCAGGGACGAACCTAGAGGAGCTCCAGCAAAACCAAGGGGATTGTTGCTGGACTGTGATCTCCCTCACCCCCGGCGGGATTCCCTTTAAATCAGCCAGGTTGGGGCCGGAAGCTGATCTCACACCGTCAAGTGTAAATCCGGATTAACTCCGGTGTAGTGCATGGGGCTAGGGCCAGATTCTGATCTCTGCTAGGCGGGAGTAAATCTGGAGTAACTCCCCCAGAGATGTTTCCAATGTGCACCAGTCTGATTAAGGGACAAATCTGGCCTATAGCCCCTTCTGGTCTAACTGTCCTATTTATCTCATAGAGCTGGAAGGGACCCTGAAAAGGTCATCCAGTCCAGTCCAGCCCCCTGCCTTCACTAGCAGGACCAAGTACTGATTTTGCCCCAGATCCTTAAGTGGCCCCCTCAAGGATTGAACTCACAACCCTGGGTTTAGGATGCCAATGCTCAAACCACTGAGCTATTCCTCTGTCCCTTGCTTACTGGACTGCCAGCGTTGTTCCAGGTGGCAAAGACCCTAACACATGGGCTCTAGCTCGTCCCCAAGATAGTGGCTTGATACAGGAATTAGTGGGTGAATGTTGGTGTCTTGTGTTACGTAGATCCGGCCAGGCAGTCGATCGACATGGGCCCATATGGCCTAAAAGTCTGTGGCTCTCTGGCTGCAGAGCAGAGCAAGCTTGGCAGAGCTGTTCCTCCCACTTGCCCCTGGGTCTGAATTTCCCCTGGGGATCTAACTGATTGACCCATGAGGTGCCAGCACTGATTCCGATTCCCTCCTGCGCTGGTGGAAATCCGGAGTGACTCCACTGGAGGCCAGTCTAAATGACTGGATCGGAGAGCTCCTCTCCGGATTTGGCCTGGGAGCTTTTCCTGTGCATGGGGGTGTCAGGCGTTGGCGGGCTGTTCCTCATGATCGTTGTTGTTCACTGGTGGGGCCCTGGAGCCTGGCGGTGGGGAGAGCTGTGGGGCTGACGCGGGTCCGTTTGGATTTGACGCTGCAGGCACGGGAACGGTGCCGTCGCGTGAGGCCCCCGGACGGAGCTGAGACCTGACAGGAAACGCGGCCCCGGCCCCCTTTCACGCCCGCCCGGAGGAACATGTCACTGGGCTACGTCAGGCGCCCACTTCCATTGGTGGGACGAAACCTGAACAGCCAAAATGTAACAGTCCGCCCCGCCCGCCCGACGGAATCAGGCTTTCCCAGGGCAGGGGGCAGGGTCCTTCCCTGCTCCCCCGCTGAAGACGTCCCCCGAACACTGGGGTCCCTTCATGACTAGCGGCCGCCCTGCCCCGCCATGGCACACGGTTCCGACTCCGTGCTGAGGGACGCGGCCTGCCCCACCCACTCCCGCAGCTCGGGCAGCGACGCCAGCGCGGCCACCCGCTACCTGCTGAGGAAGCAGAACCGGCTGGTGAACGGGCACCCGCGGGGCATCCGCACCTCGTCGCCCATGGGACGGGTCATTCTCATCAACTCGCCCATCGAAGGTACGGCAGCCGGGGCCTCTCTCTGCTTCCATTGCCGGGGGGGGGTTCTTTTGGGGTCACCCTTCATCACCCAGATACCGATTCCCAGCCCCCTTCTCAAGCCGTGGCTCGGGCAGGGCAGTGCCCCAAGGGACAACTTTGGCCCTGACGAAAGCAGGAGAGCGCCCCTGAAGTTGTCTCTTGTGTCTCCCCATCTGGTCGACCCAGGCCCCCCTTTTTATTTGACCTGATCCCCCGAGTCTCCCCCCATCCTGGCTGGATGCAAGGGAGGTCGGGGGTGTGGGGAGGTACCAGTATGGAAAAAGCTGAGATCCACTGCAGGGAACTTGTCTTCGTTCCTTGCACGTGCTCCATTGGTCTGAGCAGGAGCAAAACTCTTAGCACGAAATTCATCTCCTGGGTAACGCCATGGGCTGCAGCGTGGCCTGGAGTCAGGCTCTACGCGCTTGGGCCCAGGCAGTTACGCCAGGGAAGAATGTGGCCCTTTGCGTTCAAATCCAAGCAGGATAGGAGCCGGAGATGGGGAGCCAGGACACCTGGGTTCTATCACTGGGTGACCCACTCCCCCGCTCCCCCGTGCCGGGAGTGATAATCCCACCTGCTGCTGTGGGGGAGGGGAGCAGGGTGTGGCGCCGTTAGTTGATCTTTGGAAAGCACTTTGCGGTCCCTGGCTGTTAACGCTTTTAATGGGCTTGGTGAGGACTTGACTCCGTGGGCCCATATCGCGTATGGGAACAGGGCAAATGCTGTGTGAGCCCTGCAGCGGCGCTCCAGAGGCCACCAGAAAGCAGCGGTGTGCCCGTAACCCAGCCTGGCCCGTTCACGTGCCTAGCTAGGCCTGGCCCGGCCCATGCGTAAGCGGGCTGCGGTGCGGGGCCTGGCGACTGCGGAAACCACCCCGTTCTCTCCCGCGTGTTTGGGCCCTGTCCCCACAGCCACCGGCGACGAGAGCGACGTGATCAACGCCATCACGGTGGAGAAGAGCGCGGACGGGAAGCTGGGCTTCAGCGTGCGGGGCGGCTCGGAGCACGGGCTGGGCATCTTCGTCAGCAAAGTGGAGGAGGGCAGCAGCGCCGGTAAGTGGAGCTCGTTGAGGGGTGCCGTGCCCGAGGGGCCGCCTGCCGCCTCTGCCGGCCGTCATGGGGAGACCACAAGTCCCAGCATGCAATGCTCCACCTTGACCCGGGCAGCCTTCGGCTTGGCTAAAGATGCAACTGCCCTGGGGACTGTCAGCGCTCCCAAGAGGCAGCGCTCCATCTTGGGTCCAAGCACAGGGCTGCCCAGGGCGGCGCCGACCGAGGCATGCTGGGATTTGTAGTCTCCAAGGGGCTGCACCTCCTGGAAGTAGAAACCGGGCAGCTCCCATGTCTGGGTGGAGAGCAGGGGGCCGTGCGGGGAGCGCTGACTCCGAGTCCCGGTCTGTGGGCTCTCCTTGCACAGCAGGGGACGGTGGGCAGGTGGAGAAGGAGCAGGGGTGAGCTGGGGCAGGGATGCATCGGGGCACAGAAGGCTGTTTCAGCCAAGGAGGCAGAAGAAGCCTGTGTGGTGTGGCCCCGTGCCGTACAGCTGCCCCGCGCCCAGATCCAGACAGACACCACATTTCCGAAGTGCTGAGTTCTCTTCCGGGTCTAGTACCCGGGGGTGGGGAGCTGGGTCCTAGGGCTGGCAGAACGGGTGGGGGGAAGCCGTTTGAGGGGCCCACGGGCACTGGTGACGGGGCCTTCGGAGGAGACCCGGGCCTGACGCAAGGAGAGAGGGGCCGCACTCTGCCAGGCGCAGAACGTGTGGGAGGCGCAATCGGAGCGACGGCAGAGCGATGGCCCGATGCCGTGGGAGACCAAAGGGCCTGATGCGGCTTTGCATTAAGTCGTTCCTGCCTGGCTGCTCGCAAGGCTACCGACCCCTGACTTAACCTGCGGCTGTCCTGCCTAGCACCGAGAGCCCCCCAGCAGACCGTGAGACTGGCCCGTGATGGAGCCAGTTTTGCCATGATGCCATAGAAGCTGCCATGGGGAACCACACCTCTGATCGTCTGCCTGCCCCACCCCCTGCCTCCAGGGGAAGAGCCCCCAACCCGGGCTGCAGCAGAAGGGAGGCAAATGGCTCCCCAGCTCCCCAGAGGAGTTTTGGGGGAGGGGAGTGGAGGGGGGGGCAGCCAACAACTTTCTCACAGGAGGGAGCAGAAAGAACCCAACAGCTCAGGGTGCCCCCACCCCTTCCTTGCAGCACCAGGCCTGGCAGGGGGAGACGCGCAGACCCTCCCCCCCCGGAGGTGCCCCCCAGAGGCCAGAGGTGTGTGGGGGAAGAATTCCACAGTGGCTGGAGGAGCAGATGTGGGGCTGCGGGGAAGCCCCCCGAAAGGACTAGCTGTCAGTGTGCAGGGGTCAGAATCGTGTTCCTCAGCCTAAATCGGGAACACGAAGTGGGGACGGGAGGATGCAAACCTCCGTGGGCGGCCCAGCAAACGTACGGTAGCCTGTCATGTGATCTTGGGACCGATCTGACGGGTCGCTGCGGTCTGACTCCTGCTTTTTGGGGTCAGCCACCCCGCACCAGCTCCGCGTTGGAAAACGGGTGTTGGGGAAACTGGAGAGGAGCCGCCGAGAAAACCCCCAGTACTAAACGGCAGAACCAGGACCCATGGCTGGAGGGTCAAACCAGGCAAATTCAAATTGAAATCAGGCTGGTGTTTTTCACGGAGCGGGTCGCAAGGGACGCAATGGGGTCTCCAGCACTTCATGGCTTCAGATCCAGCCTGGTGCCTCTTTGGAAAATGCTTTCGTCCAAATAGGATGACCAGACAGCAAATGTGAAAAATCGGGATGGGGGTGGGGGGGTAATAGGAGCCTATATAAGAAAAAGACTCAAAAATTGGGACTGTCCCTATAAAATCGGGACATCTGGTCACCCTACATCCAAACTTTTTACCTTGTGCACCTCTTACCCCTGTCTGCACACACACATCCCCGAGCCAGGACCGGGGCCACGGCTGCGGGAGTGGGGGATGTGGAGAGGGGTAAGGGGCCCACAACTGGGGGCGGGACCAAGAGCAGAGCTGTGGGGCGCTCCTGCCCCGCCCCCCATGAAGGCTGGCCCAGGCCCCAGCCGTGCCCCACCACCCCCCACAATGTTCCTCCTTGCCCCACAGTTTGGGGACCTCTGCTTTAGTCAAACGCAAGTGATTGGCCTCAATCCAGGGGGAGCTGGGGGAGGGTCTGTGGTCTGCGCTATGCAGGAGATCTCACAGTCCCTTCTGGCCTTGAACGCGTGTCGGGCTGGTTGCACTGGGGTGGGAAGTGAGGGGGTCTAGGTATCTCTGTGGGGCATGGGGAGTCCTTTGCCTCACCTCCTCTGTTAACCCTTTACGGGAGGGGCGGGATCTATTTGGCTGTCCCCTGCAATTCTGCAAGCACCGGAGCAATTCAGTGCGGGCAGAGGCTGTCCGAATAACACGCTGTCGTCAGAAATAACAACCCCCAGGCTCTGTTCCAGTTCCTGGCGGCTTCGGTGCTCGTTAATGGAAATTAGCTCGTCGTGGGAATTAGCTTGAGGAAAGGTGATGAAAATCTGAGCCGCCTCTTTGGGCAGGGTCAAAACGTGACGCCCAGATAGCCTGGAGGAGCTTGTGTGTCCGGTCTCAGCAATGGGCCAGGGCCAGGCCAGCTCCTTATGGCCAGAGCCTTTTTCTGTGACCCTGGAGGAAGCCTGGCCCAATGGTCAGAGCGCCAGCCTGGGACATAGAAGCTGCGGGTTCAGTTTCCTGGTGTCTGCCACAGGCTTGCTGCATGACCTTGGCCAAGTCACTTAGCCTCTGTCTGGCAGGGGTACTTTCTACCTCACAGGCCATTAGGGAGGCTAAACGCATTAGAGGTTGTGATACTGCAGAGATGGGGCCCAGGTAAGTACCTGAGACCCGTGGCCGTGGTCATTGCTAGTGGAAATTCAGTGCGCAGCTGCACATGAGGGAAGCAGGGAGCGTGACATTAAGGAAACTGCTCTCCCCCACGCCGCACGGCCATGACCGTCCACTCCCAGGGTTGGAGGGTGAGTTCCCACCTGATCGTTCCAGGTCGAGGTGTTTGCTACAACACACCAGGCGAGATCCAGCTGCTGCTGAGCTGAGAACTTGTCGTCTCGGGGAACGTCTGGCTGGACCAGGCAGCCGTCCCCCAGCTTTTAGCTCCCCCGTCCCGCGCAGCCCAGCCGCCTCCTCTCAGCCTGATCTCAGGGGTCTCCGTTTAACGTTGCAGACCTGGCTGGCCTGTGCATCGGGGACAAAATCACGGAGGTGAACAGCGTGAGCTTGGAGAGCATCACCATGGGGAGTGCCGTCAAGGTCTTGACTGGGAACAACCGGCTGCGGATGATGGTGAGACGCATGGGAAAGGTGCCAGGGATTAAATTCTCCCGAGAAAAGACCACGTGGTAAGCAGTGGCGCGCTCGCTACCTACACCTTGCCGCTATCCTCGGCCCGTCCCAGGTGCCTGACAGTGTCTGATGCGGGTGGGCCAAAGCCGGACTCCTCTGAGCAGAGCGGGAGCTCTCGGGTTCATGAGAAGCCGGGAGAGCGCATTGGAATGAACTCGGGACTCGGTGTCCTATGGGGTTAGTGCGCTCAGCGGTCCTCTCCGGAGGGCAGGTTCGAATCCTGCATTGGGCCCTCGGAGAACTGGGTGTCCCAGGGTCATATGCTAGGCCCTTGTTTGTCCACATCACACAGATCTGCCCGCTGGGCGGCCTGGGGTCACGGGCGGGGAACGGAGTAGCAGGGGAAGGGTTGAGAAACATTGGCAGGGGGCCGGGGGAGATAGCGGGGGTTGTGAGCTGGGATTGAGGGGCACCGGCAGAGATGTGCAGGGAGAGCCCAGACTGGGTTAGCGGAGCTTCGTGGCGGGCTGGGCCTGAGGTGGGCTTCAGTGCGACGATGTTTAAGAGCCCAAGGCTGGCATTCAGGGGCAGTGAGACAAGAAGGCTAAAGGGTTGAGAGGTTGGTTTGTCCATTATTGGGTTTTTCCAGATCTCACCCCCAACAAACCCCCAGTTCTAGGGCGGAATCAGCCTGCCAGAGCCTGGCTTCCTTAGCTCATGCTGTAAAGGTAGGCCTGTTCCTTGATCTAGAGGTCGTGGGTTTCATCCCCGCAGGGGTGTTCTGAGAAGAGGAACGCTGGATTCCTGCCAGATTCCTCTGCTGTGCCTGTCTCTGGGTCTGCGGGTGACTCTGCCCCAGCTGTCCTGTTAGCTGTTGGGGAGCAGCGCAGGCTTCAGGAGCTGTGCGAGGGCAGAATCTTAGGGGGGTTGGAGACTGGGGGTGGATTTGCTCCTGAAAGTTTGGATTCTGATCCTAAACTTCCCTGATCTAGCAGAGTCCCCTGGCCTGGAAACTCATGGTCAGGCTCCCTCGGGAGAGGCGTCTGGTCAAACCTCCAGGACAGCCTCTCTCGTGGTGTCCCATCTACTGGCCAGAAGGGGGACGGGGTCCCACCATGGGAATGAAAACTTCCTCCACCTTTTCCAAACCTCCCAATATTGGCAGTTCAGCGTCTGCTGCAGCTGGGCTGCTGTAGGGTTCTCCGTGTAGACGTGCCAGAGCCAGGCCCAGGGTTTCGGCCCCCTGTTTGAACCCTGTCGCTCTGGTGGCAGGGTGGATGTCGTGAACAGACGCCTGATCGTGGAGAAGAGCGGCTCGACCCCGTCGGACAGCAGCTCCGAGGGCGGCGTGAGGCGCATGGTCCATCTCTACACCACCTCCGACGACTACTGTCTGGGCTTCAACATCCGCGGGGGCAAGGAGTTCGGCCTCGGCATCTACGTCTCCAGGTACGTTGGCCCCCAGCAGCTGCGCCCGGCGCCCGCTAGCGTCTCTGGGGCCTCCCCGGGCTTCCATGTCTGCGAGAGAAACCAGTTACTGCATACGGAGCCCTGGGAGTGGGGGGCAGCTGGAAATCTAATTAACCGCATTACAAAGCACCTTAGGGCAGGTTGGTACAGCCAGGGCGTGTGTGGGGTGTGGGGCCCTTTAAGACCAAGGTTTGCTGGGAATTGTAGTCTCCAGACTACATGAGAGCCAGGAGCCAGCTGACTGCTGGGATGCTCCGCCAATCAGATCACTGGATGGTGCAGATCCCTAGGACGGGGGTGGAGTTAAGGCTGGGAATGGACCTATCAGTTTGCTGTCCCAGGACAGCTCTGCACAGCATGTGAGGAGCCCCATCCCATGTGTTTGCGGGAGCAAGCTCCTATGTAGGAGCCTGCGGGATTTTCTGGGTCCCGCTCACGGGCCGTTTCCATCCTAGCGTGGATCCCCCTGGGGATTCGTCTTCCCCTGCAGCTCTCAGGCGGGTTTGCCCTGCCCCATCCCTAAGAATAATTCAGCAGGTTCCTCGCTCCGACGTCTCCACCTTTCCAAAGCGAAGAATGAAGGGACACGTGGGATCTCCAGGGTTCCTTCTGTCCAGGCGATATGTTCAATGTTTACAGTCTCTCCGTCCCTTCCCCGGCAAAGCACCGCCCAGGGCCAGATTCTCGGCAGTGGCCTCTGAAATGCCAGGCGATGGTTCCCACGCCGGGGGGCTGCGCGCCCGGCTTTTCTCTGAGCTTGGCAAAAATCGCCCGTGTCCGAAGGATGGTGGGCAAAGTGCTGGGGGTGAATGGAGACCCCCGTGGAGGTTTGGTCCTGCTATGCCAGAGACCCCCTCCTCCATCCAAGGGCAGGCCCAGCCCCATCCGAGCCAGGGAGCACGGGGCAAGGAGCAGCGGCCAGGCACTCAGCTAGGGGCCAGCCGCTCAGCCAGAACATCCCCCAGCTGATGGCAAGAAACAGCTGGACCCGCACCCGGCTGAGAAGGGTCAGGTGTGGGGATCGGGGGTGTCACGTGGCCTTGTCTGGAGATATTGCCTGGCTAGAATCCGGCTTTCTCCCGGCCCTGGAGGTGGGGCAGGATCTAGCAGGCGGGGCAGCCCGTCCAGGGTGGGATCAGGCCCTTGAGTCGATCGCCCCAGTCTGGTTTCACATGTCCCCAGCAGTGGGTCATGCGCCCCTTAGGGAGATGAACTGGGCTCGGGGGGCTCCCCGTCCAGGGGGCTGAGAGCCACCGGCCGCCTGACGTGGGCTGTTGTTCCAGTGTCGACCCCGGCGGGCTGGCGGAGCAGAACGGGATCAGAGTGGGAGATCAAGTCCTTGCAGCCAACGGAGTCAAGTTCGACGCCATCAGCCATAGCAAGGCAGTGGAAGTGCTAAAGGGGCAGACGCACATCATGCTGACCATCCGGGTAGGACCTGCCGCCCGGGACGCTGGGCTGGTATCGGCCCGGGGAGGGGGAGTTGGGACCGTGCCACCCTGGGAAAGGCTGGAGAAGCCCATCGTGGCCTGGGCACTCGGCGCGTTGCCGTGAGAGGGACTCCGGTGACTCCCAGCCCGAGGGCCCTTCCCAGGGCACGGAGCAGTCACTCTGCTTCTCCCCCGCCCTGGCGCTGGTGGCTGAAATGCCCTGGGTGCCGCCTCGGCGTTCCCCTGACGTAGGCAGCTCTGGGGAGCTCCTGGCTGGTGCCCAAGCCGGGGCGCGGGCCTCGTTCTCGGGCAGATCCAGTTTCAGCCCAGCTGGGCGCTGGCAGGTGGCTGCATTATTCATGGCAGGCTCCGGCGCGCAGATCGGGTTCATGTCGACGACGCTGCCCGGGGCAGCCGGTTACACACTAACCCCTGTCCTTCCCTCGGCGTCTAGGAGACGGGCCGCTTCCCCGCCTACAAGGAGATGGTGGCCGAGTACTGCTGGCTCAGTCGGTGTAAGAGAGCCCCCCTCAACGCCTCCCCCCCCCGGGACATCCCTGCCTAGAGCTGGGGGCTGGGGGCAAGTTCCCTGGGGGACCATCTGCCACTGGGAATCATAATGAGACGCCAATGCAGTTCTCTCTCGCTGAGCAAGCGTAGGGCTGGGATCCAGGACGCCTGGGTCCTGTTCCAGTGTCTGACCCTGCCTTGCCACATGGCCTCGGGAACTGCCTGCTGAGGGCTCAGTGACCCGGCTGCCTTCAGACGATGGCACCACCCGGTCGCTCCTGGAACGGGCCTTGAGATTCATGGGCACAGGTGCAGTGTTGGTGCCCGGGGGTGCCACCCATCTTTGGCCGGCTGGCACTTTCCAGGGGTCCCTATGCTGCATTCCACGGCTGCCCAGACCCGGCTGCTCCCAAGAGCATGAGCTCCTGGCCATGAGTGCTCAAGGGGAATCTCCATTACCTACCAGCAGTACAGGGCCTATGACACATAGCTGGGTAGTAGGTGCGCACAGACACGTACTCAGCTAGTGTCTCTGGCGGTTCTCCTGCAGCTCCCAGTGCAGGGCCTGGGTTCCACGGGGCCCAGACAGTGACGCTGTGAGATCCCAGGGCCGAGGCTGGGGATGGTTCCTTCCCTCCCCATGGATTCTCACCCCTTCATCTCTTCCCAGTGACCAATGGCCAACTGCAGCAGCTCTCGCAGGCCTCAGAGACCAGCTCCTCCGTCTCCTCCTACTCCTCGGGGACCCCGCACAGCTCCCTGGACGGGCGGCCCCAGGCCCTGCTCTCCAGCCCCGCCCCAGCCCACATGGTGGACGTCTCCATCTCCACGGAGGACCCTCCGGCGCGCAGCCGCTCCCTGGAGCGAGTGGAGACGGCCATGCAGACGGACCTGCCCCCCGAGACCCGGCGCACCGTGCACCCGCCGGAGATCCTGAAGGACACGGCCATCCGGGCCGAGAGCCTCCGGGACCCGCTCCCCAGCAAGAAGCACAGGCCCTTCTCCGGCTCACCCCGGACGGCCCTGCTCCTGGCACTGAGCCGGCCCCGGCAGCCCCTCAAGAGATCCCAGAGCTACCTCACCGTGGGCGGTAAGTGCTGGCGCCGGAACTGGCCAGAGCATGAGCTGAATGGGTTCCCCCTGTGTGCACATACTGGTGCCCCTCAATCCCGACCCTCAGCCCCCTCCTAGCCCAGCCCTGGGCCCCCCCATTCCCTAGCTCTACGGTGCCCCTGAATCCCAACCCGCAGACCCCTGCCAGCCCTGTGATCCACCCCCCAGACACCCCCAGAGCTCTACTGATGCCTGACCTGCTGTCCCCCAGCTTGCAGGGAGCACCTTAAATCCCCCCACGCTGGGCTCTCCTCTCCTGCTCCCCCCCCCCCCGCCCCCAGCTCCTCGTCCAGTGCTGGAGCCTGTGTCCGGAGGTGCGACTCCGCCTCGGAGCGGGACTCGTGTTCAGCCAGCTACGGGGGAATCAGCCCAGCCAGGGGAGCAGGTGCCGGCTGCCTGCCTGGCGCGAGAGCAGCCCCTTCCCTGCCGTGTATTCCAGGCAGGTTCCTCTACTTTCCAGTGGCCCTGCCCCCGAGTGGGGCATTAGCTGGTCCCAACTCCCCACTTTCAGACAGTGACATCCCAGGAGTCTGAATTGAGCTGCCGTTTCCCCTGCCCCCCAGTCAGGAGGGCCTCGAGCTGTCCGGGGGTCCGACCCAGCACCCTCCCTTATGTCCAGGCCCGGAGGAGAATGTGTATCGGGGTGTTCGATGCCCCAGGGCAGGGGGGAGAAGGAAGCTCCGAGGTGGGAGATGGGGGCTGGGCCCGGCCAGGAGAGGACGAGGAGGGGGGTGCACTCTGTGATTGGTGATGGCTGCGCGCTGTGGTGGTCGCCTGGCAAACCCAGGCAGGGATCGGGGCCCGGGTCCGATGCCCAGCGGCGCCCGAGGGGGCTGGGGTGAGACGTGCTTGGCTCCGAGCCGCTGCTCCCACCTGGCCCCGGTCCGATCCGTGGCTCTTTTCCCGGTGCCAGAGGAGAAGAGGCAGGAGCCACCAGCGCCCGCCGAGGACAAGGCCAGACTGCGGCGCTCCAAGACCCTCGTCAACCTCTTCTTCCGAGGCAGCCGGGCGAAGCAGAGCTGGGCTCCAGGCAGCGAGGGGGCTGGGCCGCCAGGGCGCAGGAGACGGGCCAGGTCCCCGGCCAGCCCGGAGCGGGAGAAAGGTAACGGGCGCCGGGACACTTGGGGGGTGGGCGAGGCTGTGTCGGGGGAGGGGGAGGCTGGAATGGCCCCGAGGGGGGGTTCTGGCCCCATGGTGATTCCCCCAGGGAATTTATTATTTTAAATCACATGAATTTTGATTGCTTGGGGTTGCCCTGCCCGGCGCCCAGGGAGAGATGGCCCTGCCTCCGCCCATGCCCAGGGAGAAAGGGCCCCTGCTCCCCCACACAACCAGGGAGATGGGCCTTGTCCCCAGAGCTGCCAGCCTGTACAGCCCCCCCCTTGCAGCTGGGATTGTCGAGGCCCAGAAAGGTGAAGTGACTTGCCCAGGGTCGCCGGTGGCCTGTGGCGGAGTCAGGGGTCAACCCCAGGTCTCCTGATTCCCAGCCCCTTAACCGCAAAGCGCTGTCCTGCTTGGCACGCCGCCCGCCCGCCCCCCGAGCTGGGGGAGCCAGTCGCAGCCTCGAGGCCCCTGGCGCCAGCTCACCCACGGGGCATTAACCCCTCGTGTGCTGGTTTTGCCCTCTGCTTTGCACCTGCAGCCAGCGCCCTGCAGAAATTTGTCAGCCGGAGCCTGAAGCGGGGTAACTGTGGTGCATGTGTGTGATGGCATGCATGTACATGTGCGTGCTGATGTGTGTGTGTGTGCAGGCGTGTGCTGGTGTGTGCAGGCGTGTGCTGGTGCACATGTGCTTTTATATGTGCGCATGTGCTTTTGTGTGCAGGCGTGTGCTGGTGAGTGTGTGCGTGTGCATGCGTGTGCTGTTGTGTTTGCCTTTTGCCTCCCCACTTGCTGTCCCAGAGAAACCCGGCTCCCTTTCTTTCCCTGGTGCTGGTGGCGGGAGGAGATTAGCGCCCCAAGGGGATTTCGGGGCGGGGAGGTTATGCACCCATGATTTGAAGGCCGGGGGCATCTCAGCTGTACCGTGGCCAGTCCGGGGACGCCGCGCTGGGCTGCTCCCTGTAGACCCATAGCTGGGGCCGTGGGGCGCGGTGGCTGATCATCCTGTGGGATCCTCGCCAGCTGCTGCTCTTTGGCTGTGGCTTTAGCTGATCTTGGGCCACCGCCATTGGGCTGGGCTCCGAGGGCCCGGTTCAGAGCCTGGCAGTCTGAGCCCAGCCCCCTGCGACCCCACTGGGCGTTTGGGGGGAGGGGAGCCCCCCGGGTCTGCAGAGTCTCTCCATTCCCAACCTGTTTGGAGTCTGCCCCAGCCAGGGGGTGGGGAGGAGAATTGGGGGCGGGGAGGGATTGGCTGACGAATCAGGAGCAGGGGTGGAAAAGCGTGATTCCCACGGGGCCCCCACGGCTGGCCAGGGTCCGACCCGGGAGCTGTACGCGCAGTTACCTGGGGAACCTGCTCACTGAGCATGTCGCAGCCCCCTCTGGCAGCGGGCCCCTGGGGGAGAACAGCCTACTACTGCTCCCGGCTAGCGGAGTCTCTCCTGGCTGGGCGGTAGGAGGGGCTGGTCCCAGCCCTGCTGCCGAGCCCCTGGGCGGGGAGGGGACCTACACAGCCAGCGCGCTGCAGCCCAGGCTCAGGTGAGGGCCACCTCTCTGGAGCTCCCATCTCCGCACCAGCGGACCTGCGCTCACCCCATTTTGCTGCTCCCCAGACAAAGGCCGTCCCGTCAGCTTCCTGGACTCCCCAGGGCGCGTTGGCCGCGAGCCCAGCCCAGCCGCTGAGAGCTGCCTCCCGCTCCTCCGGGACATGGCCGGGAAGCTGCTGACGGAGGACGAGGTGACGGCCGTGCTCCGCCACTGCACCCGGGTAAGGAGCGCGGGAACACGCCCGGGCTGCTGTTACCTGCCCCACAGCCAGGAGCCCAGCGGGGACGCGGGATGGGTGTGACCGGTGCCCGGGGTGCCCAAAGCAGAGAGCAATGAGGGGGCAGGGCAAAGGGTAGCCAGGCTGTCCTGTCCTATGGGATCTCGGGAAGGGCACCCCGGCCCGGCCAGCTGGCTCCCTCAGCCCGGCGGGGGCTCTGGACTCTGTTCCGGGGCCTGTTTCCTCGGCTCACCACCCTGTGCTTCCCCCCCTCCATGGCCCGCCATGCGGCGGGAGAGCTGAGTTGTTCTCCCAGATCCGTCCCTGCCTCTGCGTTCATGTGTCATCCCCTCCGTGCCTCGGTTTCCCCACCTGGATCTCTCCTTGGGGACAGTGCCTGGCTTTGCTCATGGCTGCATGCAGGGATGAAAGTGCTAGAGTAGGGCAGCCTTCTCCCTCCGTGCCCTGGCAGCCTTCCCCCTAGAACCCCCCACAGACCCATCCCTGTAGCCAGGGAGGCTGGGCACACGCTGACCCCGGGGCCTGCTAGGTGTGTGTGTCTCTAGTGAACACTAGATGGCGCTCGGAGCCTGCCCGTTGGACACTCCCGTGGCTGATTTGTGTGTCCTTGAGAGCTCAGCCCTCCCTCCCCCTGCCCCATTGCTCACCCAACACCATTGCCCCCCCCTTCAGAGTCAGGACAAGGGCTGGACCCAGACAGAATCCAGATTAACCCTCGCAACCTCCACTCCTGGGGATCTCCACTAGGCCGCCCAGGAGGGGGGCTCTTGTGCCATGGGCAGAGACCCCCCCTTTTCCGCAGGGTCACCCACCAGCTGGCAGGGAGAGGGTAAAAGTGAGGCCAGCCTCTGGCTCACCCACGCCCGACCAGTGCCTCGGGGAGGAGAGCAGGCGTCACTAGCCCCATCAGACAGCGTGGGAAACTGAGGCACGGGGTGGGACTGGCGCCAGGTCACAAGCAAAGCCCTGGGTTCCCGGCTCCCAAGCCCCAGTTCTAGCCCCTAGACCCCACTCTCCCGCACCGCGCTGGTCACAAGGGTTTAGTCCTGATTCAAATCAGGGTCATAAGCCAAACCAGCTCTGCTGCTTCACTTCCCCCCCCCCCCATCGGGGCCCCCTGCCCCTCCTGGCCACCCCAGTGCCCCCCTTTGGGGCAGGCCCCTGGCCGGGAAACTGTTTCCCAGGGGCCCCTCGTAACAAAGCCCCCTGGTCTCTGGTGGCAACCCCCTGCCAGGGCGTCACAGCAAGACCCGTGCCGCTCTCCCACTCCCGGCATGGGGCAGCTGCCAGCCTCAGGCTGGGACGGGGCGTGGCTGGTCTGAGCGGTGGCCCGGGAGTCTAATCCTGACCTCTGGGCAATGGGATGATGGGGGGGGGAGAGTCCTGGCGGCCTCCCAAACTGTGATGGGTAGAACTAGCCCGTTGCACTGGAGCTGCCGGCTCCTCCCCAGGCCCCTCGCCGCCCAGCCCCCAGCTTGCCCCGTGCCCCGGCCCTTGGCTCTCCCGAGCTAAGCAGGAAGAGCTGCTAGGGACCCAGCCAGCAGTGCTGGCCCCCGCGTCAGTCCCGAACCGCAGCACCGGCAGGCGCTGCCCCTTGTGCTCACTGCTCGAGCTGGGGCCGGATCCTGTTCTCACTGACGCTGGTGTCAATCTGGATTAAGGGCAGGGAAGTGATTTAAAGTGGAGGGAGTAACTCGTCGCCCCACACGAAAGCCCGAGGGTCTTTGCCAAATGCCAGCGGGGATTGATCAGGTTCTGCCTCCCTCCCACCCCCAGGAGAAATTATGATTCCCTCTTCAGAGCTGTTCCGGCTTGTTGCTGGGTGCTGTGAAACCCTGCCTGCGTCCCACCCCAGAGGTGGCTGCATTTTGGCACTGGCTAAGTGCTACCTGGTGCTCCGGGCTCTGGCCAGCAAAGGGGCCCGTCTGACACTGCCTGTCCTTTGCCCGCAGTATGTCCATGAAGGTGGGGTGGAGGACTTGGTGAGGCCGCTCCTGGCCATCCTGGACCGGCCTGAGAAACTCCTGCTTCTGAGGGATGTCAGGTGGGTGAACGATGCTGGGGTGGAGGGTTCCCTCTGTGCTGCTTTCTGTGGGGCATGTCCCAGGGGACAGAGAAACAGGCCCCTGTCCTGGGGGTATAAGAACATAAGAACGGCCAGACTGGGTCAGACCAAAGGTGCATCTAGCCCAGTATCCTGTCTTCCGACAGTGGCCAATGCCAGGTGCCCCAGAAGGAATGAACAGAACAAGTGATCCATCCCCTGTTGCCCATTCCCAGCTTCTGGCAAACAGAGGCTAGGGACACCATCCCCGCCCATCCTGGCTAATAGCCATTGATGGACCCATCCTCCATGAATTTATCTAGTTCTTTTTTTAACCCTTTTATAGTCTTGGCCTTCACAACATCCTCTGGCAAGGAGTTCCACAGGTTGACTCTGCATTGTGTGGAGAAATGCTTCCTTGTGTTTGTTTTAAACCTGCTGCCTATTAATTTCATTGGGTGACCCCTAGTTCTTGTGTTATGTGAAGGAGTAAATAACACTTCCCGATTTACTTTCTCCACACCAGTCATGATTTTATAGACCTCTATCACAGGGATCGGCAACCTTTGGCACGCGGCTCGCCAGGGTAAGCACCCTGGCAGGTTTGTTTACCTGCCGCGTCCGCAGGTTCAGCCGATCGCAGCTCCCACTAGCCGTGGTTCGCCGCTCCAGGCTGTTCCTCAAATTCTTTTTTGTCCTTCCTAATTATATTTTTACACTTCATTTGCCAGAGTTTATGCTCCTTTCTTGGTATCAAGTATCGGGGGTAGCCGTGTTAGTCTGTATCTACAAAAACAACAAGGAGTCTGGTGGCACCTTAAAGACTAACAGATTTATTTGGGCATAAGCTTTCGTGGGTAAAAGCCTCACTTCTTCAGATGCATAGAGTGAAAGTTACAGATGCAGGCATTATATACTGACACATGGAGAGAAGGGAGTTACTTCGCAAGTGGAGAACCAGTGTTGACAGGGCCAATTCGATCAGGGTGGATGTAGTCCACTCCCAATAATAGATGAGGTGGTGTGAATTCCAGGAGAGGCAAAGCTGCTTCTGTAATGAGCCAGCCACTCCCAGTCTCTATTCAAGCCCAGATTAATGGTGTTAAATTTGCAAATGAATTTGAGTTCTGCTGTTTCTCTTTGAAGTCTGTTTCTGAAGTTTTTTTGTTCAATGATATGACTTTTAAATCTGTAATAGAATGACCAGGGAGATTGTTCAGTATCAGAGGGGTAGCCGTGTTAGTCTGAATCTGTAAAAAGCAACAGAGGGTCCTGTGGCACCTTTAAGACTAACAGAAGTATTGGGAGCATAAGCTTTCGTGGGTGAATGCCCACTTCATCAGATGCAGGGAGATTGTTAGTCTTTAAGGTGCCACCAGACTCCTTGTTGTTTTTGTATGCTCCTTTCTATTTTCCTCACTAAGATTTAACTTCCACTTTTTAAAGGCTGACTTTTTGCCTCTCACTGCTTCTCTTACTTTGTTGTTTAGCCACGGCGGCACTTTTTTGGTTCTCCTACTATGTTTTTTAATTTGGGGGATACATTTAAGTTGAGCCTCTATTACGGTGTCTTTAAAATGTTCCCACGCCGCTTGCAGGGATTTCACTTTTGGCGCTGTACCTTTTAACTTCTGTGTAACTAACCTCCTCATTTTTGTGTAGTTCCCCTTTCTGAAATTAAATGCTACCATGTTGGGCTGTTGTGGTGTTTTTTCCACCACAGGGATGTTAAATTTAATTATATTATGGTCACTATTACCAAGCGGTCCAGCTATATTCATCTCTTGGACCTGATCCTGTGCTGCATTTAGGATTAAATCAAGAATTGTCTCTCCTCTGGTGGGTTCCAGGACTAGCTACTCCAAGAAGCAGTCATTTAAGGTGTCAAGAAATATGTCAAGAAGTCTGAGGCTGATGATGGGGAGCGCTGGGGTCACAGGTCCAGTGGTTGCCCACGGTGCCATCTGGGTCCTGTCTCAGCCGGGGCGTTTATTCTGCAATCAAACAGCACACGTGCTGCGAGGGAGAAGGCTCTTGCGGCAGGTTGCGAAATGGGATAGGGAGGCTGCGTGGCCCAGATTCTGAACTCGGCCCTGAGCGATCGGCAGCTCCTTTAACTCCCTGGGGTCCCTGCAGGTTCCTCCAGCCCTGGGAGCAGGATTTGGCTCATGATCCCGGCCCTTAGCTCCTCGTCCCTCTGTGCCCCAGGACGGTGAACAGCCCCCAACACTTGCTCTGCGCTCCAGGCCTCCCGGCGCCGCCTTCTCCTAGTCTCTCCGGTCCAGCTCGAACAGTCTCCTCGCTCCGGCCTCACACTCCGCCCTGCCTCACCAGTCTGTCCTACACAGCCAGGGCTGCCGGTTTCACCAGGGCTGGATTTGCCCCCGCTCAGCCCTGAGCCCCGTGGCCCTGCTGGGACGTTGGCTCGAGGTCCATGCGTTTCCGGGGGGCTCGAGGGCATGATGCAGGCAGGTCTCTAGGGGGCGCTCTTGCCTCAGAAGAGGTACTGAGGCATTGCCCGCACAAGGTGCTAGGGGGCGCTGTGCTGCTCTGGGCTGGGTCCAAGCCCCTGACCCCTTGTGCCCCTCCATTCGTGGCAGTTTTCACAGTGAGCGTAGAGGTGACGCCCTGGGCAGATCCTGGCCGGATAAGTACATTGGGCTCCTTAGAATCACCCCCACTGTGGCAATTGAATGTGGGATGCTTCTGCCCTCAGCTGTCACCTCATGTTGCTGTGCGCTGTTAGGCAGCCGCCGCGTTCCGCCCCAGAGGTGGCTGCATTTCAGTGGCGATCACTTGGCTGCACTAACAGCTTGCCCCTTGCAGGAGCCTGGTCACCTCCACCGACCTGGGCCGCTTCGACAGCATGGTCGTGCCACTGGAGCTGGAGGCGTACGACACCCTGAAGAGCAGAGCAGGTAGGGGGAGCCCCCGCGAGGGCCAGGCCCAGCTGGCCCTCAACTCCTCTCCTCTTGGGGGCTGGCTTCGGGGATCCTGGGCTGCCAGTCTTGCCTTTCCCCTGGTGATGAATGAGGCCCTGCCCTTCCTAGAGTCCCTGGGTCCTGGCACAAACCTCCCTTTATCCTGGGCACCATGAAACCCTGGGCCCAGCGGGTGAGGATCCAAACCCAAGGCTGGGTGGGCACCTTGCAAACTCGCCCCCATTGCCCCATCGCAGTGTCCCATGGGGGTGGGCTCAGCCCATCACCCCGGCAGCAGGCCTGCGATCGGCTCGGAGCAGCCCCCACTGAAGCCGGGCACAGGGCTGGATGCTCAGCACACGTGCTCCACGGGCCAGGCCCCACTGTAGCGGGGGGGGGGGGGGCAGTGCCCTGCCAGCAGGTGCCAGCCGGGCAGGGCGCGGCTGGCAGAGCTGGAGGGGGGCACAGCTGCCGTCAGCACTGGGCTGGTGGCAGAAGCCCCAAACT